TTTTTGATTTATTGTAGAGATAAGGTTTCGCCAAGTTGCCCAGGCAGGTCTCAAACCTGTGGGCTCAGGCAGTTCACTCACCTCGGCCTCCCAAAGCGTGGGATTACAGGCTGAGCCACCGAGCCTGGCCTATTCTTATTTTCAATAAAGATGAGGTCCCACTATGTTGTCCATGCTGGTCTCAAACTCCTGGGCTCAAACAATCCTCCTGCCTTGGTCTACCCAAGGGCTGGGATTACAAGCATGAGCCACCATGCCAAACCTGGCATGGTTATTTTAATAAGCACTTATGAGCCCCCAATGTGTGCCAGACCCTGGATCCAGGTGCTACAAGGAAGCTTTGAGTCAAAGGGGGCTATTATGGCTTTAGGGGTCAAAGAAGGATCCATTACCCCAAAGCCAGGGACTCTGGAAGGTTTCCTAAAAGAGGTGGCATTTGAGCCAAGTCTTGACAGATAGGAAGAAATTCTTAAGTGCTAGAGAAAGAAAGACATCACCTTTGATGGGGTAGAAAAGGCAGGTAAGCTAGACTGCAGAGACCTTGAATGCCACACTTAGAGCTTCAGAATGTGTAGTCAAGTCCTCAAATCCCTGTGTAACCTCAAATCCCTGTGAGATCTCCTCCTGGTCTCCAGAGTTTAGGTTCCCATCTATCTAGAGAAATATAACCTCTTCTGTGTTGTGTTTGGGGCACTGCTGAACTTCCATATGCAGAGCCATCTGGCACCAAGGGGAAGGTAACTGTCCCAAGCAAGGTAGTCTCACTTCAAGTTCACAACTCCTAGATCTTGGGGACCAGATCTAGGTCACTACAGAGACTTGACCTAGAGGACTCTGTAAGAATCTATTGGGCATGAGGGTCCACCACCCCACCACTCCATTCTCTTTACCAAAGAAGGGGAGAGGAAGGCATTGGGGAGCTCAGAGGGGCTTCCAACATGCTCCAGTGATCAGAGGGGAAGGGCCCTCAGCCTCATAGTATAGAGCACAGGGACAGGAAAAAAATGCCATGGTCACTTCTGCCTGCCAGGAGGCCAATGACAACAAGTTAGCTGGGCAGAAAGTCAGGAGAGAAGGGAACTCTGGCCTCACTATTCTCTGCCCAAGCAAGCCATGTAACTTCTGACCAGTCACTCCAGGTCCCAATTTTCACATATGTGATAAAGTTTGAGGGGCTGGGTCTTGGTAGTGGTGGAGTGACTGATAGGTGACAAATCTGCAGGGCTGTGCCCAGTTAGAGGTAAAGCTGAATGGTAGCAATTAACTAGTTAGGCCTGGGAGGGGCACAAGCAAAAAGTCAGTAGGAGGACCAGAAACTGGAGGACCACCTGCCCCACTATGCTCTCCCCTGAGAAAGGCGGTCCTCTAGTTTCTGCTATTGGGAGAGCAAGGAGTGCTTGGGGTGGAATGGAAAGTAGAATGGCTCACTAGCAGCCTAAGTAGGCCTTGGAGGGAGTTGCTGTTTATGAGTGAGGCCAAGATGGACCAAGCAGGTGGTCAGTGGCTAAGAAAAAGGGGAAGAGACCCAGCTCCTCAGGAGGAAGGGCCTGCTCCTCTAGGGCCTCCACTGAATAGCAACAGCTAAGCAACAGCAACCACAGCTCTTCCTGTTCTATGAGTGCCTGCTGCGTTCCAGGCTTCCTGTTAAGCACTATCTGCCATCTTGGGCAGCAGGGCCAAGAGGATGGCCAGGGAGAGATAGGCAGAGATGGCCTGAACAAGTTCAGGCTACACGACAAAGATGGGCCAGTCTGGTAATCTGGGGTCTAGCCCTGGGAAGGCAGAATGATAGAGCCCATGACTTTTACCCAGGCTGAGCTGGGGCAGCTGGGGAGCAGGCTAGGCAGATGCAGCCCATTCAAGAGCTCCCTGGGCCCAGGCCTGCCTATGTGCTGAGGTCCCCAGGGCTTAGAACTCTTGGGCAGTGGGCAAAAGCTATAAGTGGAGAGATGCCATCTCCCTCTTCACGGCCACAGCTACCACTCACAGTACAGGTAAAATGGCTGTGCCAGAAGTTGTGCTAGGCCAATCTTGGGCAGTAGTAAGGGTCTGTCTAGTTGGTAGAGACTTCTAGGCTTGGTCACAGGAGAAACTAAGAACAGGAAAGTGCTGGAATGGGGGGCACATCTAATTCATGTCCCCCTTGAAGGCCAATTTAATGCTCAGTCCTGAAGGTCCCAAGCTAGTAGCCCCAACCATGCTCAGCCATAAAGTCTAAAGAGATACAGAAGGGAACCCACTCCAGGCCCGCCCTAGTTCCCACAGGGAGAGCACCAAGTCCCTAGATTCAAACGGAGGTACTGTGGAAATTCTTGCAGTCAGAAGTTCCCCCAAGTCACTCGTCAGATGAAGCACTTATGAGGAAGGGGCTAAGCCCAGCCCTGCTTAAATCTGGCACTGCATGGGCCTACAAACTCCAGCCTCCCACCCTACCCTTGCCTCACCCATAGCATCTGGACACCACAGGGATAAAGCTCAGTCCTGGCTCACCGGGCCATAGCCTTGTTATTGAGAAGTGGTAATTTGGTTTTAATCAGCCCCTTGCATACCCAGACTGCCCTCAACCCTAGCACAGGTGAAAGGGTTAAATGGTGCCCAAGGAGAAGATGAAGACTCTCACTCCTTATCTCCCTATTCCCATCTTTGCTTAGAAGAGCCACCCTTTCCCTGTAGGACTCAGAATCTCGTGCCTGGGACTTCAGAAGGCTCCCTCACACCATTCCACTGCTGAATAAGTAGGCAAAGAAGCTATAATTTCTTTGGTTCCACCAGCCCAACCTTCCCCAAACCCATCCTCATGATCCCCTCCAAGGCCACCCTGGGGAGATGACTTCCTCTATTGGCCCTGGTGCTCCTGGGAAAGACACAGAGAGCTAGGTCCAGGTTCCTGCACAGTTACTTGAAGATCCTGTGCCCTAAATAAGTCCTATAGCCACTCCAGGCCTGTACCAGATCCTGTACCAAGTATTCTACATGCAAAATCTCATTTCAAGTTCACAACTCCTTCTCTTTCCCTATGAACAGGGGCAGAAATCTGACTTCAAGAATCCTGGATATTGTCACAGAGCTAGCAAACACAGGGCAGGTATAAGAACCATATTTGTAGGGCTCTGCATTCAGACTCATAGTTGCAACTCTTGTAAAATTAGATCCTTTACTGTATTTTTTTTTTTTTTTTTGAGTTGAGGCGTCACTGTGTTGCCAAGGCTGGAGCACAGTGGCATGATCATGGCTTACCGCAGCCTCAACCACCTAGGCTCAGGGGATCCTTCTGTTTCAGCCTCCTGAGTAGCTGGGACTACCACCATGCCCAGTTAATGTTTTTATTTTTTTGTAGAGACGAGGTCTTGCTATATTGCCCAGGCTGGTTTACTGTACTTCTAACTTCCAGGAGTCACTCCCCCTGTCAGACTCTATCCATCCAGATAGCCACTGGCACAAGCTACAGATGAGTCAAGTTCCCAGTTGTGAAAGATCCAAAGGATTCTGGGGTGCAGTCCCAGAACTGTGTGCTTTAAGCCAGAACCAGCTGGCCAGATCAGCCACCCCCAGACCATACCCAATCCCAATCCACCTGTATCAGGGATCAGGCCTCCAGGAAGCCTATAGTGTGACATGGCTAGATGGCTACTCTCCTGCATCCCCCCCCCCAGGAACCAGAGTGGATCAGGCTTGGAACAGGGCCTGTCCCTTTCAACATATGGCCAGCGACTCGTCAGGAACCCATCGGCAGCCTCCTCAATGGTATCAGGCTTGCCCACTGGTCAGCCCTGGGAGGCTAACACTACTCCAGCCCAGGCAGGCAGGGGCCGTAGGGAGGAAGTAGCCTTACCCCTAGTCTTGGTGGAGGCCCAGCTTCGGGCAAAGGGAAACTCAGATCTCACCCACTCAGAGGGAATTCTCATGGAAGGGACAGCCAAACTGAGCAAGAGCCCCCTGGCCTTAACACCTAGGTCTAGCCAGAACCCCAGAATCGGGAGCCACTCCTTCCCTGCTTCCGGGTACTGCAGTTCTGCCCATACTGAATCCACTCCTTACTCACTAGGACACCAAGAGCTTAGCTAAGGTAAGCCTCAGTTTCCCCATCTATAAAGCAGGGAGGACCACAAACCTGACCTTACAGGAGAATATGAGGATGAACATGATGCTAAGCAAAGAAAACTCTGTCGGGGCTCCGGACATAACTGCACCCACAGGCCCCTGCTGCTGGACCCTCCAGGTCACCCCAGGCCTCAGTGAGGGGTCACTGACCTTCAGGGCACACTTCTGCCCAGTGCGCCGATGGAAGCACTCCAGCACCTTGCCATTCACACCCAGGCCCAGCACCTGCTTGGACAACTGGTAGTCATCAGTCACCGCGTACTTCTTGGGCTCCCGTCGGCCACCGAGGGCCGGAGCACCGCCCAAGCCGGGCCCGCCGGGGGCAACTGGAGGGGCCACAGGACCACCCTGTTCCTCTGTTTCGCCATCCATAGCCCCCGCGGGGCGCTCAGGGCGGGCCCCAGCCTGGCGCGTCCAGGGACACCTGGGGGAAAGGGGAAGAGTGAGTCCCGCCCGGACTCTTCCAACACACCCCAGGCTTAAAGCCCCAGAGCCCGGCTGGGCTGCGGGCCCGGGACACTGGGAAAGCGGGGCGAACCGCCCGAGAGTACAGACGCGAGGCAGGGGGCGGCGGTCGCGCCGCCGGGCATGAGGGAGTCTGGCTCAGGCACGTGTCAAGAAAGAAAGGGGCCGGGCGCCTAATGGCCGCGAGGCCCCCGGTCAGGCAGCCGGGGGCCCTGGGAAGGCGTACCTGGCGAGGGCACCTGACGGCGTGGCACCCGGCGGAGGCGCCAGCGAGGGGCAGGGGCGGCGGTCGCGCGAGCGGGCGGCCCCGGAGCGCCCTGGGCCGAGAGTCGCGCCGCCGGTGCCACGTGACCCCTCCCCTCCCCCAGCCCCGCGCGTCATCCCAACTTGGGGCCCCGCTAGGTCAGCCTTAAAGGGCCAGGCGAGCCCGCGCGGGACGGGGCGGGAGCCCCTTGCGAGCTCCGCCCTCGAGCTGGGACAAAAATAGGAGGCGTGGCTTCCTGAAAGGGCGGCAACCTTCCTGGGCCCCCGGGACTCCCGGGGAGACTCCCGCAACCTGCAGTCCGGTGCTGTGTGAGCCCCGGATCCTACCCGCGACCTAGAAAGTGACAGCGCAGGACTCCTTGTTCTTGAAACCTCTATGAGTCGGGTGTTTTCTCTGCACGCTGCCTGGTGGCCCTCCAGTATAGCTTGCTAGGCTTGCGACTTCCCTGATGGTGCCAACCGCCAGCGCATCCAACTTCTTAATTTTTGCCTACATGCCGAGAGAAGTGGCATCTCGTTGTTGTTTGATTCGAGACTCTCTAGTCTCTGCTGGCTCTGGGCTTCTCTTCTGTGTGTCTCCCATTCACATCCTTGGCTCCTTTTTTCCCTTTGATATGTACAGTGTCCTAGTTTCCATTTGTTGAGATCCCTGGTGTCGTGTTTAAAAAGTCTCTGCCTCCCATCCCAGTGAAAGATATTCTCAGCCGGGCTCGGTGGCTCAGCCTGTAATCCCGCGCCTTTGGGAGGCTGAGGTGAGTGGATTGCCTGAGCCCGCGGGTTCGAGACCCGCCTGGGCAACTTGGCGAGACCTCATCTCTACAAGAAATCAAAAACTCAGCCGGGCGTGGCAGCGCGCGCCTGTAGTTCCAGCTACTCGGAAGGCTGAGGCGGAAGGATCGCCGGAGCCCAGCAGGTCGAGGCCGCGGTGGCCGGGAGCGGCCACTGCACTCCAGTCTGGGCGACAGAGTGAGACTCCAACTCAAAAAAAGAAAGAAAGAAAAATATTCTCTATTAACTTTGTCATTTTCTCTTCCACATTTAAATTTCTACTTCATTCTGAGCCCACCTTAGACTACCTTACATATTTTGAGCCAGTTTTCCCATCACAGGCTGTTAACTCTCATTTCACAGGTGAGGAGACTCCGGGCCCCCAGAGAGGAAACAACTTGTCTAGAACCACAGGGAATGTGATTGTGGCAGTGCCCTGGGACAAATCTGCGCTACTCCCGTTCATCAACCCCCCAACCTGGAAGCTGAGGAACCAGAGAAAGTCGGCTCACTCGGACCGGGAAGGTGTGGCTCGGGTCAGGGCCTCTGCGTGGACCTCTGCTGCCATCTAAAGGCCATTGACCGTGCTGCAGACACCGTGACCTCGGTCACACCCAAAAATCGTCTCAGAGCTGTCCTACTCCCAGCTTCTTTGGAACTGCAGCCATACGAGTGCCTTCCCTCCAATTCCCCCCCAAGCACCCGATCCAACACTCACTCACTCTCTCACGCGCTCTCTCTCTCCCTGCCTCCCTTCCTCCCTCCCTCTCTCTCCCTTTCTCTGAAGCCTGGCTTCAGCCAAGTCTCCTCAGAGAAGTACCTCTTGGAGAATGGGAACTTATGCCCTCCTCTCGGGGCAGTTTGCTCCTTCTGATCCATCTGTACCTGAAGATCGTTCTATGAATGAATGAGTGAGGGACAGTGAGTGAGGTTTGGAGCTCTGCCTTGTCTCTTTCAGGAAACCTTCAAGCTCCTAGCGTTCAGTGAAGCAGGGAGCCTCAACCAATAGCCTCAGCTGCCCATAGTGAACCTTTCTTGAAGATCCAATGCTGGGTAGGTGCTTTCAGTGGGCACCCCATTACCTCCTCTTGGGGCAGTTTGCTTCTTCTGATCCATCTGTACCTGAAGATCGTTCTATGAATGAATGAGTGAGGGACAGTGAGTGAGGTTTGGAGCTCTGCCTTGTCTCTTTCAGGAAACCTTCAAGCTCCTAGAGTTCACTGAAGCAGGGAGCCTCAAACAATAGCCTCAGCTGCCCATAGTGAACCTTTCTTGAAGATCCAATGCTGGGTAGGTGCTTTCAGTGGGCACCCCATTACCTCACTGAAACTGGAGGAAAGAGGGTTACCAATACCCTCAGGCCCACACACAGGCCCACACACAGCCCAGAGAGGTTAAGCAACCTGCTTGAGGTCAGCAGCTATTATTACAGAGCCTCCATTCCAACTCAAAAGCACAACCTCCAGGCTGGGCTGTTATCCGCAAACCATGGCCTCCTCTCCTGGTTCTCCTTGCCTCTCCACACATATCCACATGTGCAAACATACTCTTACACATGCACACATGCACTGACACATTTATACATGTGCATACATGGGTTACACATGCACAAACACACATACACATGGCACACCTATGCACACAGATACATATACATATGTATGCACACACACACATCTATGCCCAGCTAGACACTGGATCAATGTCTCTGAGCTTCACCTGAGAATCTGATTCAAGACCTCAAAGCCTTAGAGGAAGCCCTGTGATCTGGTAGCTTCTCCTACTGAGACCCTGGAGAAGGCTCTTCCCTGTGAAGGCAACTGGTTTGAACCTGGTGAATCCAAGGCTGAGCAAGGTTTCATTCTGGATGAGCAAAAAACTAGGTAACTGAGGGTGGACGCTGGCTCCTTGTCCCAGCCAAGGGCACCCCACTGCATGCTCTGTGAAAATGGCTTCTTTCTTGAAAGTGGAGTTAGATTACAATTACTCTAAAATTTTGATAATTATATTTTAAAGCTGATCTCTTTTTATTAGATTTTTTTTTTTTTGAGTTGGAGTCTCACTCTGTCACCCAGACTGGAGTGCAGT